GTCTCTCAAACTCTCGTTATTTCTGAACTCTCAACTCTCTCAATTAATTTTGAAGTGTCATCCCTAAGTGACAATTGCAATTGATCACCTATCTCTATTTTAGATTTATTGTTAGTCATAGTATCTTTATTAAATATAATACAAATAGTAATATACAAATGATATACTTTTTAAAATATCTATATATATATATATATAACTTAACTAAATCTTAATAAAAAATATGTTGAAAAAAATTATCTATGACGTGATTTTATTTTGTTCTACTAAATAACTTTTCTCTTAAATTTTTTTCTCTAACTTTTCTTCGTTTTTTTTCTCTACTCCATTTTCTTTCCCTTGATTTGTCCTACTTGTGCCTAAGCTCTCTTTATTTCTTACTCAAACTTCTCTATTTCGCTCAAATTATTAAACGACCATTGTTGATAGTTCTTCCTCACTGGATTCTTCCTCTCTCTACTCCTGTGTCTCTGTAATAGATCCTTGAACTCGTCACTATTCTCTTTGTCTATTTCAACACTATTCATTCTGGTGATATTTCTCCATCTAGTAAATGCATCTATCTCGAAACTCTAGCTCTTTCACATTAATATGTCATACATACACAAACCTTTGGCCATAGTTATGATTCGAAAGGTTTTGTTATCATCAATTTGTACATGTGCTATAGAACTGGTGAAAAATTAATATTACACATTTTGTTGCACTGTTCTACTATCTTAGTCCTCTTCATCCCTCAAGTGTCTCTCTCATTCTTTACTGTCATTGTAGATATCTCCGATGTTTCTTATCGGAAACGACAACACCTTTAATGTCATTTTCACAAGCGATAAGCTTGTTCAGTCTCTCTTTCTCATATTCCATTTTCTGTCGCTCTACTAGCTATTCTTTTCTAACTCTCATTTTCTGTTCCATGGTTTTAAGTCATTGATTAAATTATTTAATGTGAGAGATCCCGATTGGTGATTCTAAGATTTTTAGTGATTTGTTTAGTCATTTTATGATAATTATTATGAAACTTTGTTGCTTGATTACAATATTTGCGATTTATAAAAAAAATTGGATATTTTTGTTGCATCAATTAGTTGTGTTGTCACGCATTTTGTGATTGATGTTATAAAATTTCTTGGGTTGGTTATGACATTTGTGATTTGTAAACATTTTGATTATTTTTATTATGGCAATTAGTGGTGCAGTTACGCATTTTGTAGTTGATATTATTAAATTTTGTAAGTTGGTTATGACATTTGTGGTTTAAAATTTTTAGATGTTTTTGTTACACCAATTAGTGGATAGTTACATAATTTTTGGTAAATGTTATGAAATTTTGAGAATTAGTTACAACATTTGTGATTTTCTATAATTTTAAACAATTTTGTTACGCCAATTAGTGATGGCGTTATGTATTTTGTGTTTTAGATTACAAAACCTTGTGACTTGATTATAATATTTGTGGTTTCTAAAATTTTAAATATTTTTATTACGCCAATTAATGGTGTGATTTTAAATATTTTTGTAGTTGATGAGTAAAATAGTCTGTTTTATTAATTTTACTTAATAAAAATAGATGAATGATTTATATTAAAAAAAAAAGTATAAATTGACAAAATTATAAATTAATAATTTATTTTATTACAAGATTCTATTCATAAATGTTTTAATTTTGTTTTTTATAATGATTATTACATAATTTCGGTCGCATTTTCTCCAAAAATTTGGAACAAACAGCCAAATTTTGTCAAAATCAAAATTCCCTCATTAATTATTTTTGACAAATCTCTAGACCCTTTCTTTAGCCTAAACGAGAGAGAGAGAGAGAGAGAGAGAGAGAGAGAGAGAGAGAGAGAGAGAGAGAGAGAGAGAGAAATATAAGTTAGGCTAGGCTTTAGAACACATAGCCCAGGGTCTTAGGTTGGGCTTAGGCTCAGACTCAAGCTCAGGCCTGGTTGGGCCCACCCAGGGTGCGACTGGACATGGGGTGTGCCACGAGCTCATGGACCAAATTTACACCCCTATATGTGGATAGTGGTTATGAGATATGTGATTAATGGTTATATATAGGTGATGTTAGTTATGAGGCAAATGATGTTGGTTATGAGATGTGGTTATGACATAAATGGGTAAAGGTTATGAGATATATGATTAGTGATTATTAGATATGTGATTTTGGTTATGAGCAGAGTGATGTAGTTAAAGTCCAAGGGTATTTGGTTATGAGATATGTGATTAGTGATTATGAGATATGTAATGTTGGTTATAATCAAAGTGGTGTGGTTATGAGATATGTGATTAGTAGTTATGATATATGTGACGTTGGTTATGAAATATGTGGGTAATGGTTATGAGATATTTGATTAGTGATTATAATATATGTGATTTTGGTTATGAGCAAAGTGGTGTCAAAGGGTGTTTGGTTATGCCATATGCGTTAGTGGTTATGAGATATGAGATATTGGTTATGATCAAAATGGTATAATTATGAGCAAAAGGGTTGCTAGTTATGAGATATATGACTAGAGATATGTGATGTTGGTTATGACTCAAAGGGGTTGGTTATGAGATGTGGTTATGATTTATGTGAGTAATAGTTATGAGATATGTGATCAATGGTTATGAGATATGTGACATTGGTTATGAACAAAGTGGTGTGCTTATGAGCAAAATGGTACTAGTTATGAGAATATGTGACTAGTGGTTATGAGATATGTAGTGTTGGTTATGAAAAAATGGTGTTGGTTATGAGATATGTGATAATGTGACTATTAGTTATGAGATATGTGATGTTGGTTATGAGATATGTAACTAGTAGTTATGAGATATATGATGTTGGGACCCCTAAACTGCTCTGATTTCCTTTTCCCTTTTTTTGGTAACCAATTCAAAATTAAATTATTAAAATAATTTAGTTATGTGGTAGTTATGAGATAATATGGTACGAATGAATAACTAAATATAACTAAGTTATAAGTTAATATGATAATGGTTATGACCTATATGATATTAGTTATAATATAAAATCACATATCCTCATAACTGATGTATGGTACATCCAAATGTACCATAGCATCACCCCATCAAATCATACCAAAATTTAAAATAGGATCTCATGGTAAGACCATCTCCAACGGTTCATCAAATTTAAATTTGATTAAAAATTATCCTTTTCTTTGCTTCAATGATTTCATCAAATGAGTATCAAATTAAGGATATAAAAAATCTTTCACCAAATTGACAACACTTGGGACATTTCATCATTACACTGTTTATAGCCGTTATATTTTCACCACCAGATGTCCCTCAGATGTTTTCCCAAATGACCATCTCTTTGCAAAAATTTGTAAAAAAATTACACTGACTGGTTGACCGATCAGATATCTGCCCGATCGTTTGCCTGATCAACCAATATTTTGATGAAAGTTCAAAATATTCCATTAGAACAGTTGATATTAAATGGAGTTTATACTCAAATTTTACTCATGGTTAGAGTTGCTCTAAAGTTGTCAAAAGGGAAATTTGGCTATAAACCCCCTTTACCTTCCTTTCATTGTTAAAAGGACTAAAAAAAAAATTATACTTTCTAAACCCCTTCATAATTATAAAGTCTTACATAAAGGACAAATTTATTATTTAAATATTTTATATGACTATTATACCTACTCTCTTCCCCACTCTCTTCCTTTCCACAGATGGCCTCTTCAAGAAGACCGGCGAGCTCTGCAACTTGTGCGGCACCGAAGCCGCCGTCATCACCTTCTCCAACGCCGGCAACACCTTTACCTTCGGCAACCCCTCCATCGACTCCGTCCTCGACCGTTACCTCTCCATGACTTCATTATCCTCCAGAGCCTCCGCAAGCTTCTCTTCTCTCTTTCAATATAGGGTTTCAACTCAAATCTGTGCACCATGAACGATTCCGATCTCTAATCTCCCGAGATATATAGATATATGTGTGTGTTTGTATGTTTTGAGATTTGAATTCGAATATATAGATTTTTGAAAGCTCAAAGTTTTAAAAATCTGTAAAATCTGAAAAATCTGAAGAACCGGGGTATGAAAAATTGATATTTCTCTAAAATTTTCAGATTATAGGCCTGATTCAAGGATTATAGGCATGATTCAATGTTTTTCAAAGTAAACATCGATTGATTCAAGAATTATAGGCCTGATTTAAAGCTCAAAGCTCAAAGCTCAAAGTTCCAAGTTCCATCGATTTTTCAGAGTAAACATCAAATTTCATTTGATAGAACCAGAGTAAAATTTTACTCTGGTTCTATTGCTCTGTTTTTTTCATTTAACAGAACCAGAGTAAAATTTTACTTTTAACTTCAGAGTCTTACAGTTTACTTATTTTTCAGAGTAAAATTTTACTTTTATACAGAGTAAAATTTTACTTTCGTTTCAGAGTGTAAAATTTTACTCTCATTCAAAGTAAAATTTTACTTTTAGTTTCAGAGTGTAAAATTTTACTCTTATTTAGAGTAAAATTTTACTTTCATACAGAGTAAAATTTTACTCTGAAATACATAGTGAAAATGTCTTAATAGGAGAGCTGATAGATATGAGGGTAATATAGTAAAAGAAATAAGTTTTAAAATATCAGGGGGTTTTGAAAGTACTTATATAATTCTTGTCCTTTTGAAAGAGAAATTAGATAGTGAGGGGGCTATGACCAAATCCCCTTGTCAAAACAAATAAGACCTATCAGTATATTAAAAAAATTATGAGATTGATTGAAATAATTGATTCTCATATGAAACTTTTTGATAATTTTTCCAAACAAAAAAAAATTTAAAAATTAGGCTTTGTTTGGGAATATATTATTTTAATAATTTTTTAATTTTTATAAAAAAAATATAAAAAAAATAAAAAGAGTGATATAATAATTTATAATATTTTTTTAACTTTTTAATTAAAATATATAATTGAGACTTTAGTTTTTAGAAAATCAATCAAAAATGTTAGCTCTCAAGTTCAAACGGCTCATAAAAACACAGCGCCACTGAAATTCAAAATACAAACCCCGCCAAACGAATCCTACATTCACACCATGTTCTTCACTCCATCTTTCTAACTCGTTCTTCAAACCCTAGAATTCGATACTCTCTCTCTCTCTCTACACCGTCCTCCATGGAAATTCAAATCGAATAAGAATTATATTTTCTAGGTCAAAATTGAGGGAATGGACGTAGGTATGATATCGGTGGACCGGTGGTCCGAAGGCAGCCAAGTGTATTTCCTCACACACCTCCACGCCGATCACACCAATGGCTTGTCTTCAACCTGGAAACGAGGCCCTCTCTTTTGCTCTCGCATCACTGCCAAGCTCTTCTCCTCCAAGTTTCCCGGTTTCAAGCTCTCTCTGCTTCGAATTTTAGATGTCGGTCAATGGAATTCAATCCCTTTGGTCTCTCCAACCACCGAATCGAACACTACCGTCGATGTTATCGCCATCGATGCTCATCACTGTCCAGGTGCACTTTTTCTCAGCTTAAGTTTGGTTTCTGGAGTCTGTTTTTGTTTGAATGTGACATTGGGTTGTGATGATCAAGACTGCATTTTTTTTTGGCCACAACAGTAATTGTGAACATGACTGTATTTACTATTTTTATTGATCATAATTAAGCTACTAGTTTATTATTAGTATTATTATTATTTTTTTCTGTCGGATATATGTTATGTGGAAAATGAAGTATTATTGCCTCTATTAATATTTGGTTATAGTTATTATAGTTGCGTAATTAGTTTTGCTTTTAAATTTCCTTTTTTCTTGAACATGCATAAATATCACAAGTCAAATGTGTCCAAGGGTGTGTCCAGATGCAGGACATATGATTGTATTTGGCAATATTTGGTCTCTCCAATCAGCTGGCATGTCCGTTACATGTCCTGGTGTGTCGGGGTCGGAAATGACTACAATAACTAGTTTAAAGTGTTTGTGCTTCATAGTAGGTAGGTAATGAGAGCCTCTTTTATCAAGGAGATAATTGTTGAAATTAATAACCAAATTATATTCACCCAAAAAAATAACCAAATTACATTTTCATTTTTAAAATTCTTTTGGTTAACCTGTGCTGTCTGTATTGTATGTTGTTAACGAGGATTACCACAAAGACAGCAAATTGCTACATGGCGGAAAGTACATTATCAATGATACATGTCTATTAATGCATTGATGCAGAAGAACATATGCATGTACATAATTCATCCACCTTGGAGGAACTTTTTTATTTTTTTTAACTACTTGAAGTCTAAGATTCAATAGATCGTGTAACTTTAGGGCTTTGAAAATCATATTTTTCAAACATTGGTTTTATTATAAACTATCCATAAGGTTTTGGGAAAGAGGGATAGACTAGATTGATATGGAGCAAGGTTTGGAACCCTCAATTCTTAGTTTAGAAGTCCTTGAGAGAGGGGAGCAAGGGATTGACTTAGGAATAGATATATAAGGTCAACTAGCTCATATATATCTTTCTCCATCAAACAATGTGCCTTCTTAGCGGGTATGGTTAGAAAGAATGTTTTCCTCTTTGCATTTTAATTGATTTCAATGAAATCAACCCTTGTTCTTAATTGAAGCCTAGTAGTAGAAAGCTCGAAAGGTAGTCTTCGCCTCTATATTTGGACAACCTTTTCTCATCTTGGTGAGTCATGTCCTTTAGAAATGAGAGTATCACGGTAGCCATTGAAGAGTGAGGCAAAGGGCTTGGTCCTCTCAATTGACTAGGGCTTCAGTCCCCTACGACAAGTACAATGCACTAGCACTATGACAATATCCTTCTAAAATGCTGGCATCTTATATGAAGACAGCTGGCTGGGGGACTCTATCTTGTCTAGGGACTATATTCATTGTAATTAAACAATGCATTTTTGTTTGAACTTGAAGGTGAAACTTCAAGTTTATTGCGATGAAGTACCATGGGGGTTCCATTGGCATACTGAATTGTTCTTGCCTCCTTGTAATAGGCATACTGAACAGCCACAAATTATGATATGCCCCATAAGCTTTTGCTGATGTAGATTGAAAAACCTTGCAAATTTTGGTTCTAAGATTAAAACTTATTAGGGTTAAAACACTAGTTTGGTGCCTCCCCTTTTTTACCGACAACAATTCAAATATTTAAGTGTAATTGACTTCTACAAATTATCTTCTTTTCAAATATCAACTAGTCGAGGTTGATAATAAAGATGGGAACTCTAGTGTTGGAAAGCTTCCCCTGTTTTATTAAGAAAGCATCAAGTACGAAAATGTAAGAGACTTTTGTTTTCCTAAAGTCCACCAAGTTTTATATATAAATTTTAGCCACCACATCTACCATGGTAATTATAATTGGCAAAAATGAATTTTCAAGTGTCAAAAGCAACTAGTCTACTACTAAGCTTAATCTTTTTAATTTTAATTTTTCTACTTTATTTTGTCCTAGATTGCCTATCTGTGTGCTTGATCCTATCTATCAATATGTTATGTTAGGTTGAGTTGCCATGCTAAAGGATTTTTATTTCTTCTATCTTTTTCTTTCTTGTGGGAAATAGTCATGACAAAGGGTTTCATAATTAAGTTGTTCATGGTTTTCAACTTGACAGGCGCAGTCATGTACTTGTTTCGTGGTGAGTTTGGGTGCATGCTTTATACAGGGGATTTTCGCTGGGAAACAACTAGTAAGAGGGCAGAGATTGGAAGGAGCATGCTTCTTAGTGCTCTTGGGAATGATAAAGTTGACATTCTTTACTTGGACAATACTTACTGTAATCCATCATATTCTTTTCCTTCTCGAGAAGTTGCTGCTCAACAGGTGCATGCTTACTTCTCTTGTGGAAGTTCCATAGTTAAATTTTTGTAGTAGAATTAAACTACTACCCTGATTACAATTGGAAGCTACTAACTTATTTGTTAAGGTTTATTTTTTAACCAAAATTTTAATCAGCCTCATATTAACTAGTTTTGTCTAACGTGTTTTTGATGTGAGAGGCTTTGAATAATTCTTGTGTCGTTTGTTATTGTTAAATAAAGTCAAAAAATATCCAAGGTGAAGAAGAGAGCCAAGGGAAGCCCTAGAAGAGGAGATAGAAGCTTCGTCGCCTAAGCTGCGCCTCGCCCATGTCGCCTTGCCTCGCCGTGCTTAAGGCGCAAGGCTGCGCTTCATCTCGCCTTGGGCTTAGGCGCGCGCCTAAGCGCGCTTTTTAAAACACTGGGTAGCCTGGTCCCCTTGATGTGACAATTGGGGATCTCTTGCCCTAAGATGCTTGTCTTGGGATTTCTTGACAATGGATCCTGTGACATGGGGGATCTATGTCCCTCAACCTTCTTTAGCCGATAGCACAGGGTAGTTCCTCACCTTAGTATGTCAAGGCATCTTAGAGGCATCAGAGTATCATATGCCAAGAAGCGCGGACACTTCTAAGAAGCTAGCGTGTCCATGTTGGACACTGGCACTTGTCAGACACATCCTAACACATGCCCGACACTTGTCAACACATGTACTATTTTTTTAATTTTTTTTTAGATGCGGACACTCTTCGACACTTGGAGGACACATGTGTCCATCCCATACACACACATGTCCATTGGTTAGAAATATGAAACTAATTATAAATTTGAACAAAATAACTTAGAATACAAGATAAAAGAAAAATACTAATTATAAATTTGAACAAAATAACTTAGAATACAAGATAAAAGAAAAATAATCCAAATTTATTGAAATTAGTATTATATTATATATATTTTTTCTAATATTTGTCAATGGTATATTCATATATATAACATATAATAAATATATAAAATTATATATTTTGTGTGTGTCTTCCCCATGTTGTGTCCTGCATTTTTTGAAAATTGCCGAGTTGGTTTGTGTTTGTGCTTCTTAGATTCATATGTCTTTGATCAGTTAACAAGTCTGTCTATTAAAGCTGGTTAGGGGAGTACCACAATCAGCAGGGTAAAGGGCCCTTAACAGTCCATTGATTCTAGTCTCCAAGCCACGATCCTTCAATGATCTTGTGCAACAATCCTAGGCCCTACTCCCAACTTGGGTAGCTTGTTTTGAGACCTTAGACATGTTGGAGAAGTCAAGGAATTCACAATTGGAGATGGGTTTATGGTGACTGCTTAGGGAGATCTTGACCAAGCGAGTGAGGCAACCTAGAGACCTTGGTCGGTCTAAGTGAGGCAATCTAGAATCTTGGCTTCAATTTTAGGCATTTTAGACATTAAAGAGATGTTTATGCTATTGATCCACTCTGACATGTGGCACTAGCTAGCACCATATGACTAGGAGCAGTGTCACCGAAAAATGCTGGTACCTCAGTGATGTACGTTTTAGAACTCACATTCTAAAATGTGGTACATTTTCGTTCCAAAAAGATGAATTAAGCAATTTTTCCAATATATTTTCTTTAAAGTTTCCTTGAGAGGAAAAAGAATCAAATATAATAAACTTAAATCTAAGGAGAGTGAAGTTTTAGCAGGATAGAATGTTAAAAAATGTTTATAATGCTAATAGAAATGTGTTGTTGGTACATGATCAATATGAGAAGAAAAAAAAAACTAAATTTATTGGATATTTTTAATTGTTGAAAGAAAATTTCTCTAAGTGCTTTAATTAAATTAGTTTCAACTTTTCATCATGATTTCATCAGACTAAAGTAAAAATGTCAAAAATCTTAGAAATGGGCACAATATGTTCTGAGTTCTCTCTATTTCGAACAATATGTGGATGAAAAACAATGATTAGCATGTCTATTTACTTGTTTCTTGAAATTTCCAACTGTGAATAATAGTTTCAATCAAACATAAGTTTCATTCTTTGAATGGAGCTCTGTTTTATCCGCTGTTGAACTTCATTTTCTGATTATGTATATGGAAATTATTCATTTACATTTTTATGACTAGTTACAGGTTGTTGATGTGATTGCCTCTCATCCTGAACATGACATCATTATCGGTATAGATTCTTTGGGAAAAGAAGATCTTTTACTTCACATTGCACAAGCGCTGAAAATAAAGGTGTGCACACTCTTTACTGAAAGGAAAAGTGTCAGCTAGGGTTGTCTCTATGCAAAGTGTAACCTTTGCAGTGCGTATACAGCAGAATGGCGACCCAAACTTGCTTTTAGTTTTAATAATGTGAACATACCCAGATGCTTTTCACATCAACTTTGTTGGTTGTTTATTTATTTATAATATAAGTTTTGGGGAAAATAGAGCTAACTATCTCAGAAAATTAATCTGCAGGTACTGGAGAAATATCATAATTTGTTTATATTAGTTCAAGATTGGAACTAATTGACCTACTCATTTTTTTCCTGTGTTCTGCATGCTTTCTATTTCTATATGTTATAGGTTACAATACCTACTTGTTTTTTGCCCTCTGTTCTGCATTTTTTCTAGTTCTATATGGTATAGGTTACATAAATACTGTAACCTGGAGAGTTTATACTTTCATCTGTTTGACTATTTTTGCGCACTACATGTAAGCCTACAATGCTGGTAGCTTAGACTAAAAATTAGTGATTCTTTTGTATTCCCTTGTGTCATGTGATGTCATACAGGATGCAGCCTACCGCATTTTAAATTTAATGTTGTTTTCTGGTTTGTAATAATGTGCATAGTCATGAAGACTTGTATATTCATTTTTTCACCGAAAAAGAAGTTTGGTGTGGTAGAAAGGAAATAATATCATTTTTATCCTTCTTATATGTATATAAGTAATCTTATGAGCTATCACCGGTAGTTCCTTATATTTTCTTGTTTTGTTCTTTAAAGATTTGGGTCTGGCCAGAACGCCTGCAAATTATGCATCTTCTTGGGTTCCACGACATCTTCACAACTAAAGTTTCTCTAACGAGAGTGCGAGCTGTCCCTCGCTACAGTTTTAGAATCGACACACTGGAGGGGTTAAATATGATGCGTCCAACTATAGGGATTATGCCATCTGGCCTTCCATGGAAACCCCTTGAAGGGAACACCAATGTTTTTGGTTCGTCTTCTCGCCATAGCAGAAGCAAATTGAGTACAAAAGTTGGGAGCCACACAGATATGCATAAACCTAATGATAATTCAAGAACTGTGGAAAGTTATCATGAATACATATATACAGTTCCATATTCTGATCATTCATGCTTTGCTGAGATAAAGGAGTTTGTTAAGCTTGTCCAGCCAACCAACTTGAAAGGTATTGTGTCTTCCTCAAGTTCTTATGTTGATCCTCTTTACTATTTTGGCCGCCTTCCGGGAGCAAATCTACAGTCACAAGGTTTACGTCAGAATTTTGTGAGAAAAGGCCATGAAAGAGTTAAAGATGTCCTTAACAAATCTACTCTTCGAAGTGATAATTCTACTGAAGCTGGAATGAAAAGAAGAAGCAAGAAATATGATTTTTTAGGTGTTCATGTGAGTAGAGTTAGTATATTGAGACGACTAAGGCGTGGTGCAAAAATATTGGAACTTGACTGACTTGAATAGTTAAGAGTTGAATTTTGGCATTATGTTACACTGAAACTAAATGGCTAATGTTGAGTGTGCTACTTCATCTGATAATACTTGTATAACGTTCCGAAATTCAGTGAAATTACAGGTATAACAAATTACATTTTTTTTCCCATTTAATATTCTGTAGTTAATAGCTAATATGGCTTTGGGGGTACTCTTGTTTCAGGAAGAGTTATGAACTGTGCACAGATTGATACTACGGACTATCAGAATGGATATGAATCTTGAGGTTTATAATTGGACCTTATTATGTCTTACACCTCTTACACTTTGGGCTCAAAAGGTTTGCATTAACCATCTCATTGTTTATGTATGTCATGTCATGGTATTGCAATTCAAGTACAGGATCATTTGAAATTTCTTATTGAGTTTTACACCATCACCACCTAGTTGCATTGTTGATGGTGACAAATACACTTTTTACATGACTTTTATTGCAACTCCTTGTACAAAAGGATGGTGATGAATGACCATGAGATGGCAAGAAGCTTATTCTTCTCGATTTTAGTTATTGAAGGTAATATAAGTTATATGATGTTATTGTCCCTTTCTCTAATTACATCAATGATTAAATCACGAGCATCTTGGTTAAGTTTGCGAATACTTACACCCTCTTCTCTCTAGGTGGTACATAGTCTAACAATCTACCAAATGATACCTAAATTCCTCTTCTATACCTCCTTAAAGGAAGTCATGTTGCTATTTCTCCAACCTTTTCACAACTAAAGCTAAGATAGTGAATAAGGACATAAAATACTTGGGAAGGCTGGACAAGATGCTTTGATTCAATGTCAATCTATCACCTTTAGATACACAGATATAGGCTCTTCTTTCTTGCCAACTGCCTCTGAAATCTCTAAACCATAGAATCCCACACTAATTTTGCTCTGAAAGTGGCTCCTAAAGGAAGTCTTAGATAAGAAGGTCAATGCTCCACCTTACGACCTAGGATGTTAGCCAAGGTTGCAACATGAGGCACCTCCCTGACCAGAATAAGGTTGTATTCCCCCAAATTCACTTTCAAACTTAAGATGACCTCAAAGTACAGAAGCACAGATCGCCTGGAGTTGCCCCATCTGTGCTAGTTATAAGGCTTTAGTTTCTGTCTCTTAATATTTAAATTTTAAGGAGAAGTGTGGGCTTTGATTTTCAATTTGATATCAAAGCTTATTTGGGCCTGTGACTGGTGTGCTGTTTGTCTGACTACTATATGTTGTGGTCCAAGAGGGTGTGTTGGAATGTGTCCTACATTGTTTGGAGTTGCCTTATCTGTGCTGGTTATAACACTTCAGTTTCCCTCTCTTTAATACTTGGGTTTTAAAGAGAAGTGTGGGTTGGGCTTTTTAATTTAGTATCAACGCTTGGTTGGGCTTGCGATTAGTATGCCGTTTGTCCGACTGTTGTATGTTGTGGTCTATGAGGGTGTGTTGGAATGTGTCTCGCATTGTTTGGAGTTGCCCCATCTGTTTGGTTATAAGGCTCTAATTTCTCTCTCTTTAATACTTGGGTTTTAATAAGAAGTGTGGGTTGAATTTTTCAATTTGTTTTTAGAGCCTTATAACTAGTCACATGCCCAACCAAGCTTTGATACCAAATTGAAAAGTCTAGCCCACACTGCTTAAAATCTAGGTATTAAGGAGAGGGAAATTGGAGTCTTATAACTAGCACAGATGGCGCAACTCCAAGTGAAGTGAGACACATTCCAACATCACATAACTAAGATAACCTAACTATTGAGGCTTGACCCTACAACAAATAACAGTAACATTAGCCTAAAGAAGATAAGAGGCTGAGCATGGAGCCATCAATTTTTCCAATCTCAAAATCCTTAAAGAAAACCACCTTGCCCCATTCTATCAATCATCTTTCTCAAAATCTCCAAAACCAAAATGCAACAAAAAATTTCAACTAGAATTTGGAAGAGGAGGTTTTGGCTATGTTTTTGAAGGAACATTGCTTGATTCCATTATCATAGTTGCGGAGAAGCTGGAAAACATCAACCAAGGGAAGAAGTTCGAGCAAAAGTCAGCATGCTTGGTTCTAACCAACATGTTAATCTTGTTTAGCTTTGTGGGTTTTGCTCTGAAGGTAACACGACTCCTTGGATTCCTATCTTTTCCAAGAAATGGGGTAAAAAAAGGTTATGGACTAGAAAACAAGGTACAAAGTTTTACTAGGGATAACCACAGGGTTGGCTTTATTGTTCATTAAGGATAGTTTAGTCCTTTAGATTGTTAGGGTTTTATTCTATTAGCTTATATAATTGTACTTAGTTGATTGATTAAGTATATACAAGATTTCTATTCATTCTCTTTTATCATGGTATCAGAGCAAAGTTGCGATCGAACCTAGGTTATTCTTGGCACCAGACGTTGCACATCGCAGGTCTGCTTCTGTCTCTCTCTCGCATCACAGGGCTCTCTTTCGCATCGCAGGCATCGTTTCTATCCATCCCAGTGCATCGCAGGTCTGTCTCCACACTTCTCTTGCATCATCGATCATTGACATCACTCTCTCTTCTTTCAAGTGGTTCGTGACTCCTCTCCCTCTTCAGCCTACCGGGTGGTTTGGTCATGTACTAGGGTTTACTTGGAATTTTGTGTTCGAAACCCTACGGTTGTGTTGATAAACTGTGTCTCTAGACTTCCTCCTTCTTTTGGTACTGTTCACCTCCTCTATTGATTTGAGTTGTTATTTATGAGCATTTGGTGAGATATAGAGATTGTATTTAGAGGAAAATTTGAGGGCTATTTGTTGATACTTGTTGGAATAGTGAATTGAATTTTAGAAATATGGCTGATGATAAAATTGCAAGCTATCATTACTAAGTTAGATGGTACCAATTATTCTTATTTGTCTCATGTCATGAAGAATTTTATAATGGGTAAAGGCATGTGGAACTATGTTATTGGTATAACTATTAGACCTATGGAATTCAAAGAAACTGAGGCTGATGTTTTTAAATGGGATAAGGAAAATGCACAAATTCTTACTTGGTTTCATAATTCAGTTCAAACTACCATTGGTATGAATTTTTCCAAGTATTCTTCTGCTAAACAAGTTTGGGACTATTTGAAAATTATGTACCTTGAGTCTAACTTTGCAAAACAGTATGAACTTACGATGTCTATTCGTAGTGCCAGTCAAAAAGATAAGTCCATTTAGGAGTTCTACAATGAGATGACAACTTATTGGGATCAGCTTGCTTTAATGGAACCAGCAGATTTGTAGTTACTTGACAGTTATACCAAGTATAGGGAGAAATAACGTCTTGTTCAGTTTCTTATGGCCCTTCGTGATCAATTTGAGCCACTTCAGGGAGCTATTCTTCATCGGTCCCCCTTACCTTCTGTTGATGGTGCTATCCGTGAGCTTATTGCGAAAGAAACTTGGTTTAAGATGGCTCATGGTGTTCCTGCCTCCCAATCAGTTTTTGTTACTTCTCCGCTCTTGCCTACCCTATCATTTCATTTATTTTAGGTTACTGGTAAGCCCAAGTCTCGGGTTTCCATGGATGAGTGCAGTTTCTATTGTCAGCGAGGCCATTGGAAACATGCTTGTCCTAAACTTTTGCAGCCCAAGGGTCGTTCATCTGGTCCACCATCTTCTAAGTTGCCATCTTCGGGATCTCGCTCATCTGTCGCCTTTTCTGCATCAGTTTTTGAGAATGGGCCATCTTATAATATGCAGTCTATGTTTGAGCAGTTCAAGTCTTTCATGGTGGCTAATCCAAATCTTTTGCCCCAGGCCTTCACTAACACTCAGTTAGGTTTGTTTGGTTCATCTTCTTCAGGTAATATCCACACTTCGTGGATTTTAGATTCTGGTTGTTTACATCATATGATCCCTATTGCATTTCTCCTTAGTAATTGTGTCTCTCCATTTTCTTCTATCACTATTGCTACTACTAATGGTTCTTCTATGCCTGTACACTCTATTGGTTCTATTTCCTCTTCCCATTTGTCTCTTTCTCCTGTATTTTATGTGCCTCACCTTTCACAGTCTTATTTCTATTAGTCAATTATCTGATTCTAGTTTTGATGTTGTTTTCTCTTCTTCTCATTGTGTTGTGCAGGATCGGGTATCCAAGACGCAGATTGGGATCAGGCGTAGAGTTGGAGAACTATATATCTTGGACAGCTTGCATGTTCCTCTAGAAGTGTCTTCTACTGGATTGTCTTCTTTTTGTTTAAATAGTAAGTCTTCTTTATCTTATATTTGGCATTCTAGGTTAGGTCATTTGTCGGGTGACCATTTGAGGATGTTAGTTCGGTCTGAACATTTAGGCAGTTTTCCAATTGATAATATTTCTGAGTGTCGAGGTTGTAAATTGGCTAAAATGTCTGCTCTTTCTTTTAATAAAAGTAGTTCTATTTCTTCTTTTCCTTTTCATTTGGTTCATACTGATGTTTAGGGTCCTTCTCCTATAGTTACCAAGGGTGGTTCGCAATATTATGTGTCTTTTGTAGATGATTATAGTTGATTTACCTGGGTTTATTTGATGATCCGAAAATCTAATTTTTACAAAATATATTCTAATTTTCACTCCATGATTCGCACTTAGTTTTCCATCACGATCAAAGTTCTTTGTTCTGATTTGGGGGGTGAGTATTACTTGTTTGAGTTTGAGGAGTTTTTAACTACTCATGGCACTATTCATTAATCTTCGTGTTCTGACACTCCTGCCCAAAATGGTCGAGCTGAGCGCAAATATTGCCACCTTCTTGATACTGCTCGCTCTTTGTTGCTCTCGTCTTTTGTCCTTTCTATTTTTGGGGGAGAAGCTATGCTCACTGTTACTTATTTTGTCAATTGAATGCCTACTCCTCTTCTCTCAAGCTCATCTCCGTATGAGCGTCTTTTTGGTGTTACTCCCAATTATTCTCTTTTTCGTATTTTCGGTTATGCATGCTTTGTGCTCCTTCCTAAACGGGAGTGCTCTAAGCTTAGTTCTCGTTGTGTCTTATGTGTCTTTTTAGGATATAGCATTACTAAGAAAGGTTATCAGTGCTATGATCCTACCACCAAAAAGCTATATGTGTCTAGGCATGTCACTTTTTTAGAAAAACTATCCTACTACACTATACCTTCCACCGCTGTCCCTATTACCAAGGATGAATTGGTTCACGTTGACCCATTTCCTCCTGATGTTTCTCTTGATGAGTTTGTTTCTGATCTTAAGGTCTCTACTTTGCCTCTTACTAGCACTTCTACTATCTTGCCAGGCACTTCCTCTCCCCGCTCCAGCTTCCCCTGCTCCTCTTCTTGTTTATCAGTGCTGCAAAGCACTTCGTAGCTCGCCTGTCTCTAGCTCTATTGTCTAGAGATGGCAATTTGAACCCGGCCCGATGGTGACCCGATCCCCCGACCCCGAATTGAGCAGTTTTTCTCCGAAAAATACTCCCGATAGGCCGGGGATGGTATTCAAAATTAAATCCCCGATAATATTCGGGCCGGGGACGGTGACACATTTTTTAGCCCCGGTCCCGCCCCGCTTAGCCCCCGATTTATATATATATATATCTAAAAATGTGTTTAGGGGTTTGGTGACTCACTGTCACACACAAAACAAAAAACAACCTCTCATCTCTCTTTCTCTATTGCCTCCCTCTCTCTCTCTCTCTCACACACAACTGCCGCTCCTCCCTCACCGCCGCTCCTCTCCCTCGCGTCGGCGTTGACTCCTTCATGTGTTTAGGGTTTGTTCTTCAGATCTGAATGGAGATGTTGATGAAGATGATGATGTTTATGTTGTTGTTGAAGGTTTTCTGCTTTTGTTCTTGATAATGCGGAGGGATTCGACGCTAGAGTGTCGTAGTTGGTCGACGAAGTTCCCACCATCACAGATCGAAGAGAGAGAGAAGGAAAGAGTTTGTGGATTTGATCGGGTATACCATACATATACATATATATATATATATATATGGGCATATTCTGGTCTTTTTTCTTATAGCTTTAAACCTTCCCGTTTATGCAAAAAATCATGTTTCAACTATTAGGTGCCAGGCCACACTTGATTGGGAGGATGATAGCCAGATTTATCTTGTATTTTTGTTTTGGGGAGAGAAATATGCATGCTGTTGTTGTTGTTGTTGATGATGATGTTGATGTTGATGTTGATGTTGATGTTGATGTTGATGTTGTTGTTTATGAATGGTAGTATTTTCTGAAGCTATATATATATATATATATTTTTTGGCCGAGGAATGTTCGGGGTTGGAGAAACCCGATCTCCGTTAGGGGGCAGGGGCGGGGGTGGGGGCAATGATAGGTTTCCCGTCGGGGATCGGGGCCGGGGACGGGGGAAATTCGACCATCGGGGAGTGTGATCCCCCGCCCCGCCCTGTTGCCATTCCTACTACTGTCCGTCCAGCTGTTTCTTTGGATCCCGCTCCTCCTGTACATCGCTTTCCAAAGCGAGACCGTCATCCTCCAAATTGGTATGGTTTTGGTAATACATGTTTTTTCCTTTCTTATCAGTCTTTTCTTTCTTTCTTCATACTTATTTTGAGCCCAGGTCCTACAAGGAAGCTTGTCATGATCCTAATTGGATTCCATGAATGATGAGTTAACTGCTTTGGCTAACACTCAGACTTGGGATTTGGTTCCATTACCTGCTGACAAGAATATTGTAGGCTGTAAATGGGTTTATAAGGTCAAAACCCTTTCTGATGGTTCTTCGGAACGGTACAAAGCTTGTTTGGTTGCCTAGGGCTATTCTCAGGAGTATGAGATTGATTACGATGAGACTTTTGCCCCCGTTGCCAAGATGCCTATTGTTCGCACTCTTATCTCTATTGCTGCTGCCCATCACTGGCCTTTGTTTCAACTCGATGTCAAAAATGCTTTTCTGAATGGGCCTCTTGCTGAAGAGGTGTATATGCACCCTCTACCGGGTCTTTCTCACCCTCCTGGTGTTGTTTGTCATCTCCGCCGTGCTCTATATGGTCTCAAGCAGTTTCTTCGGGCTTGGTATGAGCGCTTTCACTTTGTTGCACTTCAGCTTGGTTTTCGCCCTAGTCATCATGATTGTGCTTTCTTTGTTCGACACACTACTGTTGGCCTTATTCTCTTTCTCTTATATGTGGATGATATGATCATTACTGGTTCTGATTATAGTACTATTGAGGAGGTTAAGCATCAGTTGTTTTAGGAGTTCGAGACGAAGGATTTGGGATCTCTTTGGTATTTTCTTGGTATTGAGGTTGCTACTTCTCCTACTGGGTATCTTCTCTCTCAGACTAAATATGCCTGCGATATTCTTTCTCATGCCAATCTCACTAATGACAAAATTGTTGACACTCCTCTTGAATTGCATGCTAAGTTTTCGACTTCTAATGGTGTTCCTCTTGAGGATCCCACTGTGTATCGTGAGTTGGTTGGGTGCCTTGTTTATCTCACTGTTACTTGTCTGGATATCTCCTATGCTGTGCACATTCTTAGTCAGTTTGTTTCTAATCCTCGTTCCACACATTGGGTTGCCTTACTCCGTACTTTGCGCTACCTTCGTGGCACTTTGTTGCAATGTTTGCTGTTATCTGCCTCTTCGGACTTACCTCTTCGTGCTTATGCTAACGCTGATTGGGCAGGTGACAGCTCTGATCGTAAACCCATTTCTGGTCTTTGTGTTTTCCTCGGCGATTCTCTCATATCCTGGAAGAGTAAGAAACAATCTGTTGTTGCTCGTTCCACCGCTGAGGCTGAGTATCGTGCCATGGCTCATGCTACTTCCGAGATCGTTTGGCTTTGGTGGCTTCTTTCTGATATGGGTGTCTCTCTTTCTGATTCGACTCCGTTGCATTGTGATAATCAGAGTGTTGTCCAGATTGCCTATAATTCAGTCTTCAATGAGCGGACCAAGCATGTTGAAATAGATTGTCACTTTGTCAGACAGCAACTTCAAGCTGGCACTATTATTCTCCCTTTTGTACCCTCCTCTCTTTAGTTGGCCGATTTTTTTACGAAGACTCACACTATTGTTTGTTTTCGTTTTCTTCTTGGCAAACTTTCGATACTTTCTGCGCTCGCATCCTCAGTTTGAAGGGGGGTGTGAATTTGTAGTTTATGTTGTTCATTAAGGATAGTTTAGTCCTTTAGATTGTTAGGGTTTTATTCTATTAGCTTATATAATTGTACTCAGTTGATTGATTAAGTATATGCAAGAATTCTATTCATTCTCTTTTATCAGGCTTATCTCCATGAAGAGTGCAGGGACTGTATCATACACCATGACCTTCAAACGTTCTATTAGATGTTGGAACTCTACCCAAAAGTAATGGATTTTGATCTAGCAAGCTTGTTTGGCGAGAATTTAGCAGGGTTCTGACAACCATGAAAGGAACAATTGGATATCTAGCGCTAGAGTGGATATTAAGGTTAGACATAACAACTAAAGCTGATATATACAGCTATGGAATGATGCTTTTTTGAATTGATATGGGGAAGAATAAACATAACAACTAAAGCTGATGTTTACAACTATGGAATGATGCTTTTTTGAATTGATATCGGGAAGAATAAACACTGATCAATCCGAAGAGGGGAAATTTAAATTCTTCCCAATTTGGGCTGCAAATGCATCCATAGAAGGCGGTGATGTCCTTAGTCTATCAGACCATAAGTTGGAGAAAAATGTTGATGTTGAAGAGGTATGGAGAATTTGTAGAGTTTCTTGTTGGTGCATCCAAGATGAAAATCATAGGCCAACAATGAGTCCAGTAATTCAAATCCTCGAAGGGGTTTCAGATGTGAAGCTGCCTCCAATTTCTTGTTTTCTCTAATCCATTGATGACTAGGAGCTTATAGTTTTTTGTATTGTGTTGAGAATTCATAACCATGGATTCTAACAGCCTGTTCAACCAGATTCCCTCACAGACACCTAGTGTCATAGCACGAAATTCTGCCTCAGCACTACTACGGGCTACCACTGACTGTTTCTTGCTTTGCCATGTAACCGCGTTCCCCCAAACAAACGAACAATAGCCAGAAGTTGATCTTCGATCAGTCAATGAACCTGTCCAATCTGCATCTGAAAAAATCTCAATTTTTCTATTTGTTGTTCTTTGGAAGAAGAGACCCTTTCCCGGTGTCCTTTTTAGGTACCTCAATATTCTGATCACAGCAGTCATGTGTTTTTCGGTTGGATTATTCATGAATTGACTGACCACACTAACAGAGAAGCCGATGTCTAGCCTTGTATGAGAAAGATAAATGAGTTTTCCCACAAGACGTTGATATCTCCCTTTATCACTTGGTGCACTACCGTCACCTTCTTCCAGTTTGATAGTTGTGTCCATAGGTGTTTCTGTCGGCTTGCATCCTAGCATCCCTGTTTCATTCAGTAAGTCCAGAACGTATTTACGTTGTGAGACTGCTATACCTTTCTTTGACCTAGCAATCTCCATTCCAAGAAAGTACTTAAGGTTTCCAAGATCTTTAATCTCAAATTCCTTTGTTAGGAATTTTTTAAGTAAGCCAATTTCCTCTTCATGATCACCTGTTAGAATTATGTCATCCACATAAACAATGATAATTGCCAATTTCCCTCCTAGGGAGTGCTTCACAAATAATGTATGATCGGATTGACATTGAACAAAACCGTACCCTTTCACTGCCTTAGTGAACCGTTCAAACCAGGCCCTGGGAGATTGTTTGAGACCATACAAGGATTTTTGGAGTCTGCAAACTTTGTTGAAATTTGATGTCGTCTCAAGTCCAACAGGAATGTCCATGTAAACTTCTTCCTCTAAGTCACCATTGAGAAAGGCATTTTTCACATCAAGTTGGTGAAGTGACCAATCGAGATTAGCTGCTAAGGATAAAAGTACACGAACAGTGTTGAGCTTGGCAACTGGAGCAAAGGTTTCTTGATAGTCAATGCCATAGGATTGGGAGAATCCTTTGGCGACCAATCGAGCTTTATAATGTTCTACATTACCATCTGCCTTGTGTTTTATTGTGAAAATCCACTTACACCCAACTGGTTTCTTACCTCTTGGAAGATCAGTAATTGCCCAAGTACCATTCTTTTCCAGAGCTCGAACTTCTTCAATGACTGCCGCCTTCCACTTCGGATACTTGAAAGCTTCCTGAATATTCCGAGGAATGGGTATCTCCGTGATGCTAGAAGTGAAGGCACGAAACGAAGGTGATAGCTTATCATAAGAAATAAAGTTCCCAATGGGATGCTGAGTACATGATCTAACTCCTTTTCTCCAAGCTATGGGCATATTAAGAATACTATTTTCTAACTCAGAATTATCAGTACTATCTGTGGGAGGAAGATTGTCACCTGGAATGTTGCTTGGATTAGAACCCGGTTCAGCCTCATGGGATTGTTGAGAAAGTGCTCATTCCTCCGTTTCCTCTTGGATGTGCTCATTATCCCGCAAGTCAACAATGAACTCAGAATTTTCGGCAGGTAAAGATTGATTCAATGACTCAAGAGGTGTGGGATTTTTG